CTAGCTACTTTTCTTTTGCAGACAGTAGATGTGTTGGTAGAGCTTCTATTACATAGAAAATTCTACTATTCTTGCTGCATGCTTATGACCAACGCAAGTGTAAATCAAAGTCATATACAGGACCTCTTCAATACAGACTTATTAATATTGGAAACACCCAAGAGTAGTCCACGGAATGCTCAAGTTGAGAAAAGTGCAGTATTTGAGGAAAAAAGACGAGAGAAATTCAGAATACATGCTAATGATGTGTACTGGAATGAAATATCTGAAAAAGAAATAAAACATCACTGTCGCTCGTAATGGAGAAATCTGTACATGATGTAATCTAGCTCAAAATCATTACTATGAGTCGTTAGGATTTTTCAAGCATTGTAGCGGCTGCATTTCTATCGCAGATTGACAGATTATGATCCCAATAACCTGGGATCTGCCATGTAAAAAATTCCATAACCTTACTCTGCAGGGTTCTACCACCCACACCTCACACCCATCGAGTACTGTAAGGTTAATCGAATACATTTTCATAGCCATCTATTTTGTTTTTTTTTATTCTTATCATCACTGAACTTCTTCAAATGTTTAGTATTCAGCCACCTTGCTTAGACTGTCTTTCTTTCTCTCTCTCTCTCTCGACAACTCTTATCTTCAGGAATTGTCATAAAAGGACGAAATACTCTTGAAATAAAAGAAACCGTTATAATTGTTAACGGATGACGTAATTCTCACAATAATTTGAATTTCATTAATAAGATGTGATAATGTTAAGAGAAACGTCATTTTTCCGTATCGAATTTTGAATGTGTGCCGTCTTCGTTTATATGATTCATGTATAGTTACTTCCTTTCTTCTACTTCATTTTTCATGATGAAGTTAATCATTTTACCAACTGTAGATGGATTACAAACATCACATCATGTTATAGCATACACAAGTGATGTTTTCTTCTTTGCTTAAGAGTATATAAAGAATTGTTTTTTTTATATTTGAATTATTATTCTGATATCAGTATGAGTGGGAGCAAGCAACACACACAATAATAAAGTTGATCATTATAGTAATAATGAGAAAAAGAAGTTACAAAGTCAATCTTATAGTAATTCTTCTATTCATCATATCACATTTCTATTTCTCTTTTTTTTTTTAGTAACAACAGTTCATCAGAACATGTTCGTAATATATAATTATTTTGTATTAATATCTAAATCTTATTTATCGTTTCATCTAGATCATCATTCAGTCATTTTGAAGATCTTTGCAATGACATTATGTATGAAATATTTGATTATCTCGATATGTATCATGTGTATGATGCTTTGTTTAATCTTAATACACGATTTCCAAATTTTCTTCTTCATTTTCGTTTTCTGATCAAAATCAAAATGTCATTTTTATCAAAAAAAAAAAAATTGTCAACATTATTATAAACAATTTATCATACCTAATATTAATCGAATAACTTACCTTCATTTATGAAATCTATTCATGATTGATATCGTTTGTGAATCTCAACAAGATTGGCGAATTTCATAGACTCGAAACGCTTATTCTCGTTTTATAATTTGGCATTTCTACGGAATCTTTCTTCATTAATCATCAATGAATTTGAGTGTTTATCAAATATCTTACATTTCCTATAGATCAATATTTCGTTTACGTGTCTTGAAATATTGCAAAATATCATGTGAAATCAGTCATTTTTTACTACTAGATGTCGCTGTCAATGAAACAAGTCCTATCGAACATTTGGTTATTAATCAAATATTTAGACTTAAACAACTTTCTAACCTTTTATCATATGTTCCTCACCTTCGTCGTTTATCAATTAATTATTTGTTTGGATATAACTATCACAAAGTCAAAGTATTTCTAAAGATGTCAAATAAATTAACACATGTTTCTCTTAAATTAGAATATATAACATATGATGAATTTGAAACAATTATCAGAAATTTTTTAAACCATGTTCAGGTTTTATGAATTGCAACTATCAATGATATGGCATATTTAAATGCTGATCGATGTCAACGATTAATTTTGTCACATATTATTCATTTACGTATTTTTGACTTTCAATATTTGTATATTTTTCAGGGGTTTGCGAATCAACGACCAAACGAAGATGAATTGAATTGTGGAATATTCTATTCAATGCGATCATGCAGGTGTAAAAAAATAAGTTCTTTTTTGGTTTGAAATATTGTTTTTATTTTTAATTTTCAAGGAGAAAAAGACTTTGTATTATCTAACGAGTATGATCCAAACAATCACTCAAACTCTGTTACAAGCGATTTTCCTTTAGTTCGTCATGTTCATGTTCAGAATCAATCACCTATGGATAATTGTTCAATATATTTCTCAATTGTCGAGAAACTTACCACTTCTGGTGATGAATATATACGTCGTGATTCGATTATAACTATCCTGAATCGTATGATATGTTTACAAAAGCTCAAGAAAATAATTATCAATTATGAACATTTTCCTTTTGATACAGTAGTTTAAATAGTACGCTTTACACCGAATTGTTCTAAATTAATACTTCAATCTCTATAACTAAATGAAATCAATCTTGTGTCATTAAAAGAAGATCCAAACTTTCAAGTGACATCAAACAAAAATAAAATAACTAATCTTACAGTTAAATCAATGTGTACTTTGATAGAAGTTAAATTATTCGTAAGGCTTTTTCCTCATTTACAACATCTTTCTATCAAAATCTTACAAGACGATTTTATATCGACTATACAATTTTTGCTATCAAATTATAACACAGATACTCGTAACTTGTGAGCATTACGCATTCAAACTACGGGAAATATATATGATTTGCAAGAGTAGTGCTTTTACTTAAATCATTCGAATTGTCTAGTAAACTCATGGGTCATCATGATTATTTTTTATGGTGGTAACCTAAATCAGATTTAAGATTCTTTTCAGTAGATAGATCCATCTAAAATAGGTTGTGGGTGTGGGTATGGGTATGGGTGTCGGTGTGAGTGTGGATAATATTCACTCACACCCACACCCACACACACCTACATCCACACCCACCCACCCCACCACCCACCCATCACACCCACACCCGTGAAACCTTTGAGAAAAGATATTCATCAATCATAAAATGAGACATTGAAATAAACGCCATGTACTCATTATAACAAAAGTATGCAAGTATCAGCAATCGAACAAGTCAGAAAATTAGTAAACAATTAGTTCGTCGACATTCATAACAATAAAAAGTAACAAACACTACTTCACACAGCATTGAATTCAATACAGACTCCTAGATATTAATAACTATTCTGCTAAAAACATTTTACTATCAGTATATGTACTGTACTTAAATATTCATATCTAATTCATATATTTAGTCAACAGTTTTTTTTAGTTTCGTTATTTCTATTTGTTGTTGATATTGGACAAAAATATTATTTTTGCCGGTTACTCTTATGTCCTAGAAATATTCATAAAGAAAGTACTTCTTTTGTTCCTCTATTTGTTAGCTCAACGCGTACCCATGGCATCATTACCGTGCAAAAAACAACGATTAATCGCCAGAAATGACGCGATTTTGATGATATGGTTAGTTTTACGAAAACAAAACTTTTCACAGATTGATATCATTGAAAAATATCATACTATTAAAAGTCGATGAACATATCTTTTCACAAGAGGAGGACTGAGTTCCATTGTTCAAAATCCTGGCCCCGCCACCGGTAAACAGGTTCTCACTATTATCGATACGCATTTGAAATGCTCAAAGGTCATCGGATAAAATACAAAATGACTGTTGTTATGAATTATGATGATGCTGAAAAGCTCCTTCTATGATATTTCGCTTATGCTTCTCTGCATTATAGATCAATATTTTTATATGAAAAATACGCATTGAAAATATTTTAAATGTCATACTGCCACTGTTAAGTCGATATTAATTTGAATACGCTCGTGAATGATATTGACATATGAGAGATTGACCATATCGATATCAATTAAAATGAAAAATGAGATGAAGTCGAACATTGAAATAGAGAGAAAAATCAAAGTTCGAAATCGAGGATTAGAAACATCGATTAATTTCTCCTTTTATGATATATAGTTTTGCGAGTTGATTGTGTAATGCACTTACAGAACAATTTGATAAATATTATTGTTTTTTATGTAGAAAGTTTTCCATTGAATTTTTAGAAAACTTAATTTTTTTACAGAAATTGTTTTGTTTGATCAACATGCAAATGGAATATATCTTATGTTTGCTTATGTTTTCTTTAATAAATTCCATAACACATTGTATTCAACCTTATTTTCCACTACAAATCACCTTTTACGCATCAAACGACCAAGTATTATTTGCAGTCGATGAAATCAATCAACGAGCTTATCAAAGATACACAATCTCAGAGTCGCGTTATCTGCAAGCTTTTGCCATGAAACACATTCCTGATGCAATACCAGACTCTCCACAATCAAAAAATTATGTCCAATTGAGTCTTTCTTCTCCATCAAATGATTGTATCTATGGAACTTATTGGCAATATGGTGGTTTCTATGCTACTACTTTGTCATTTCCAGTGCATTGGAATTATAACTGGACATCATTTCATATTGGAAACTATGTTAAATTTAATTATAAAATGATTCACTCAGAAAATACTTCTCTGGCAGAAGATTATTGGTATGCAGATGAATTATGTGAAGTATATACTGGAGAAAAATTTCCTTGCGAAGAAATTTATTTTGTTAAAAATACTGAAATACCTCTTCGAACAACTCAAGTCTTTCGACAAGGATGGGATATGATGCGTCAAATCACAACATATCGAGTTGTATCCATAGGCGAACCTGATCAACGCCTATTTGATAACATTCCAAAGAACTGGGCCTATGATTGTAATGATACAATGCTCGGTATTCGTTACGATCCACAAATGCCAACATTAAAATTGAATGAAAATGTGACTATTCAAGTTTGGTTGCCGACTCCACCACATCGAATCAATAACAAAGATACAGTTAGTATCGAATGGCAACCGGCAAACTTTTCAGAATGTAAAGATTGTGTCACCTGGACACCGAATCGACTTAGTTTCAATATTGAAAACTTTCATCAAAAACAAATTCTTCATGCTACTCGTATTAAAGAAGGAAGTGTTACTCTGCTACCAATTTTTAATGGCGGTGGATATGATAAAGCTATAGTAGGAGCCTATCAAATTTACATTGGTTAACATTATTCTTGGAATTTATTGCAAGGATAAACGAGAGAAATACCGACAAAATATTTATATTTTATTTCTTTTTTTGTATTCCATGAAGAATCAATAAATAATCATATTCAACTTATGATTTTAATAAGTCTTTTGAAAATGATTCATTCTCACAACAAGAAATATTTGTTACTTCAAGTTGTATTTGTTTTTAGAGTTAATTCTTGAAAATTCATCATAAGTATTGATACGAAAAGTTCCGATCCTCTTCCTCGGCAATGTTTGATTATCATTCAGTTTGATGTAACGTATAATCGGGGGTGTGCGTGTGGAGCTTCTGCTTTTCCTCCACACTCACACGCTCAAGAGTGTGAGTGCGGGATTTCGGTATTCTATTCACCTACACCGCACCGTACAGTTACTGCAAGAGATTTTTTTGAAAAATAGAATGTGTCATTAAAAAAGAAATAGCTTTTTTCTAAAGAATATACACCAAATGGCTAGAACTCATAATGATGAAAGAAAATTTGGACCGACATCAAAAGTCTACAGATTAAAACTCTTTGCACCAATAAAAAAAAAATCGTAAGAAATAACTTTTCTGTAGTACTGCAAAGATTGTTGATCAAGATAACTTCTCATTACAACAGCGCGGTTGAGCCAATATTTCAGTTTTTCTTCTGCATCCTTTGCTGGTAATTCCGCGTTAGGATCAACTTTTTCAGCGTCATTTAGTGGGTTTGTCACGATCGATTTGACATTGTTACCATCTTCTATTCGACTAATTTCTTTTCCATCACGAATAAAAATGAATGTTGGCAATTTTTTAATATTGTATGTACTTTTTAATGGGTCTTCAACAGCTGAGATAATACATTTGTAAACATATAGATTATTATTTTTTTCGTAACCACTACGCCATGTGTCAAATTTGTGGGTGTGGGGGTGTGGTGGGTGTGGTGGTGGGCGTGGGGTGGGTGTAGATGGAAGGATAATTTTAGAGAAGACCAATACTCCACACCAACACCTATCCAGACCCATCCTCAAGATATTGCATTATGTGTTTTTGAAACCCATTCAAATCTTCGTCTCTAACATTAATGAGAGTCAATGAACGTAGTCGAATAAATCGGTCAATACAAAAGTGGAGAAGAAATGATCGAATTTGACTGCGTCTTCATTTCATCTGAAAGTGTCAGTGAAATAACATTTTTAGGATCAATAATACGTGCCATAAGAGGTAAATCAGATTTTGGCGTACAACGAAAGTCTTGTTTATAGCGATTGTAGGCATTAGCAATGGAATAAAGCCGTTTCCATTCACATCGCATTGAAAAAATAATTGTTTCTGCATTAAGTTCATTGAAAATTCAATGAACAAGTTCGACGGGTAACGTTTTAAAATAAAATTTGTTTTTAATAGACATGAGCTTTTATACGTAGAATGTAGAAATGAAATATTTTTTGTCACAAAACGCCACGATTGCACATCCATGACGAGTGTTATAGAACGAAGAAGAAAAAAATAACAAGCGTTCGCATACATGGTTGTCGAAATATTGAGAAAGAAATGTAATAATAATTTACAGACTCATCTTCTAAATGTTTCAAAGTGAAAATGAAATATTTTCATGATGAAATTAATATGAAACTTTTTTTTTTCGAAGACACTAGATTCAAAAATTAGCATGAATGAAAGACTATTTGTTTGATTTTGCTGATTTAATCAATGCCGTAGAATATTATGTAAGATTGTTGGCTATTTTTACTGCGGAAAAGTTGTTGATTAATTTAAAAAATAAAAAAAAATGAAATGGTACTTCTGTTCGTCGACTTTAATAACAAAATCTGTTGCTAGCGAATTCACAAATACAAAAAACATTGAAATGAAAATTCAATGACTTTTCCATTAAAACTGAGTGGTGTCACATATCCAAGATTTTGGAGAAGTGCTCACTTCTCCCACAGGAGATGCGGCATCTCCCACGGGAGACGCGGCACCCACACTCGGGAGATGCGGTGATTTGCTGTTGGAGATGTATCATCTCATTGAAAGATGTGCGTCCCTCACATTGGATGCTGCATCTCTTGCTGAAAATGCAGCATCTCCTGGCAGAGATGTGAGCACTTCTCCAAATTGTAGGATATGTGACACTGCTGAAAAGCATTATCGTCTTTTAGAGATTCTATCTACCTTCTATTTAGAATTAATATTATCAAGATAAAGAAGGTATGCAGGCAAGTTTCCATTTCGACCACAAAATGACTGCGCTGACAAGCTGTTCCTTTTGCTTTTTCTCTTTCATTTTATTGCATTTCGTTGCTAATTATATTAAATCGTCAATGCATAAATCTCAGAAACATTGATGTTTAAAATGAATAGCACGAAACACGCCAGTGTATCAACACGGAATTGCTTCGATTATTTGAAACAAAAGTATAAGATTTATTTTGCGAATTATTTCGACAATAGCCAATAGGCGAATGGCGAAATCTGAAAACAACAGATTGAACATGTTCTATGTTCAAGAGATACTTTAGTGTGTTTTTAGATGTGCAACCCACACCCTACGTGAAATAATAAGAGATCAATGATTGTAGCTGAAAATTATATACACAAATGGCAAATAGTGAGAATCGGAGAGTTGGGTGCGGATCTTACCATAAATGCCATCTTTATCTTCGAATTCTATAAATTTCCTGCAATGATATAGAGAAAATTTTGAGAGAAATTTATATTATCTATAGAATGTATTTAATTTTTCATGCGTCCATCATTGATATTTATCAGCAGTGTAAGTCTCGGTGTCGCCAATAAGACTTTCTCCTTTTACCCACACCCCTCCTAATAAGAAATACCAATGAGATTAAACAAAAAGAATAAATAAAAAGCGCCGCAAGCCTCAAAAGAAAGAATTATTAGAAAAGAAAGAAAGAAGGACGTTCGAATCTTCATGAATCTTCTCTAATGTCTCGGTGCCTTCCCATTAAATAACTACATGTAGAAATTACAACTCGATAATATTTCTCTAATATTACTTCGATGTCATCCGCATCGTTTCGACACCCCGACCGCACCCGCCGCCCCCCCCCTCCCCCCCGTCGCGCGCCCGTGCCACCAACGCCAAATGCTGCGAGCCAGCAAAATAGTC